TACTACGACTACGACTACGACTACGACTACGACTACTACTACTACTACTACTACTACTACTACTACTACTACTACTACTACTACTACTACTACGACTACCACTACCACTACTACTACTACTACTACTACTACTACTACTACTACTACTACTACTACTACTACTACTACTACTACTACTACTACTACTACTACTACTACTACTACTACTACTACTACTACTACTACTACTGACTAGGACGACGACGACGACGAGACCTGCTACTACTTCTGCGATTACTACGAGGACTAGGACTACTATACTACCACTATACTACCACGAGCACGAGTACTACTCTAAATGCTCCGAGTAACATAAAGTATTCGTAAATGCTGGAAAAACGAATATCTGTGAATGTCGAGTAAAATAAATTTGACGAATGTCCTGTGCATGCCGAGTCAAATGAACGACTTTTACTTACGACTACTGACTACTGGCGACGACTACGACTGCTACTACTACTACTACTGCTGCTGCTGCTGCTACTACTACAACATCTGCTACTGGTGCTTGCGCCTTAGTCGGCCAGAGGGTTGCGCCTTAGTGGGCGATAGTAGGGGTGCGCCTTAGTCGGCGATATGGTTGCGCCTTAGTGGGCGATAGGGTTGCGCCTTAGTCGGCGATGGGGTTGCGCCTTATAGTGGGCGATAGGGTTGCGCCTTAGCCGGCGATGGGGTTGCGCCTTAGTGCGCGAACTACAACTAATTAAGGGGTCGACTGCTATTGCTGCCGCTGCCCTCCTGCAACTCCTACTAACTACGAATCCCACTCCTACTCCTACTGCTTGTCCTTCTTCTTCTTCTACTTCTACTCGTTTTGATGGATTGCTGCTACGAAAGCTACTCCTGTTCCTGCAACAGCCAGAACCACCATACTCGTAGCAGCTCGCAAAAAAAGGGTGCCACAGAAACCAGAAGCTAAGAAAAGTCAAATCCGAGGCTGAATGGAGGCATCGCTTCATGCTTGAAATGGTAGCCGCGGAAACATGTCGTCCACCAGTTATTGCTGAACCGTTTTCCGGGGATGAGGTTTAGGCCAGGAGCTGTGGCAAGGGTTGTTGGTTTTATGTGTTGGCTTTAGACTTTGGCGAATGCCCCCTACTTTCTTCACGATGTAGCCAGACAACTCGGGAAATGAGTCCTCCTGCACGAACCTGGGCAATGCGTCTGAGGGCATAAGCTGTGTACCCGAATGCCGAAGACGGCATACGTGATGCGATACCTGACAGTACCGAAGCCCAAAAGAAGAAAGCTTCGGAAGGTGTTCTTGTTATTCAACGTTGGCTTTCTGCGTGTTCGATCACAGAAGTGGGGAACGTATCTTCATGATCTTTCGTGTCGGCCTGTGACCTGCAAGAGATATGCCCTAAAATTAACCAGCACAGTCGCAACATCTCAAGATGAACAAGTGCCGACCAATGGCTCCGGCTTAGGGTTTGGGGCTTGGGGGCTTAGGGTGTAGAGCTTGCCTTTCCGGTGGAAACGCTTCAACACGAAGCCACCAAAACGCAGTCTCCAAGGCACCAGGCCCCTAGACCCCTAGACCCCTAGACCCTAAACCCCTAAACCCTGAACCCTAAACCCTAAAGCCTTGTTCGGACCTAGCTCGACTCTGCTCGCAGCTTCTGCCGCTACATCGATTTGACTAGCAATGATACGGCTGATGGTCAAAATCCTGCATCACTAATAATAAGCAATATGCCATAGTTCCCATAGTTTAGGGTCCCGAAGGTAAGGCAGGATTTTGACCATCAACAGTAAGAGTACGAATTGTGCTAATTCTGGTAACTAGCTATCGTACTAGCAATCATAGACAGATTTTGTATTGATACCCGTACCTAGTGATACTAGTAATGATAGCAGACTGGACCATGGTAGACCATGCTGCTCAGAAACTATTCCTGCGTTCTTGGCCCTAGACCCTAAATCCCTAAAGGTGGACTGCCTGAGGTGAGGCCAGGACCACTCGGCTATCGAGATGGCAGCATGCTTGGTCACACTGTAGGGCAGAGACCCCACCTCTGGGACTGCCAGGCAGGATTAGGGGTCAGGATTTGGGATTAGGGTTTAGGGCTAAGGATTTAGGTGTAGGGTTTAGGATTTAGGATTAGGGTTTAGGCTTTAAGATCAACGCTTAGGGATTAGGATCCCTTGTCGATTGCAGACTGCTCTCGGTGCGTCAGAACGGTGAAGGTCTGAAATAGAAGAGAAGAAACCAGACAAATCCTTCAGGTTCACTACATTGTAGTCTACTCCGAAAGCTTCCAGACCCGACTTCTTTCCTACTAAACTCAAAACCCATAGACGTGCAGCACGTAAAAGTATGTTCTGGCAGGTTTGCAGGGTTTAGTGGCTGGCGCCTGCGACGATACTCCAAGCTAGACAGTCTCTCCTCTCCTTGCTCATGGGCTTCGGCCGTGTGTTCGACATTGACAGAACCTAGGCCGCAAACCAGAAAACAAACCCAAAGCCCTAAACAACAATCCCTGGAAACCCAACCAGTGACTAGGACTCCAAGGCCATGTGCCGAGAGCCGTTGAAGCGACAACACGGGGGCCTCGATAATCAGAGTAGGGTCCGGAGTACTCCACAGGTTAGGTGTACATACATACATATATATATATATATCTACAGAAATATTGTATATATTTCTGTAGACACTGCGTTATTGGACTGGAACGGAATACAGCTAGTAGTTCTGCCGACCTCTGTACATAGTTTGCGACACATTCCCAGCCCTGGCCTTAAGGAATGATGGACCTTAAGAAATTTGAGATCCCAACATGCACCTGCGTCAGGAGACCCGCTGCAGAAGCGGTGATGACAAAGTACTTGCGATTCCCTTCGGACCGGCTGCAGACTTTGGAGTTGTCGAGTTTATGAGGACCGGCTGCAAACTTTGGAGTTGTAGAGTTTATGAGGGTTTATACGGGACTGGGGAGTTGGTAATTTGTAGGGCCTTTATCGCTGGTAGCTTGACGGAAAGTTATAAGGTCAACGTTTTCTAGGGCTGAAGGCCTTGTAGGGCTTATGGGTCTGTGATCATGATTAGTATCATTAGTGTTCCGGTCCTGTTTGTTCATAGGTTTTGCTGACGATATCCTGGTGCTAACCAACATAACATCATAGGACACCTACACGACCCCACAGTCTTCCATGCACTTCAGACCTTTTGGTTTCGAAAAATGATGCGATCTGCTAGGGAGACCCCAACACAAGCCCAAATCCCATGTCGATGCCAGAACAACTGTTGAGCTGGTAGCTTGACATACCAAAGACACCTTACACCCACCTTCAGGTTCTTCTGCGCGCGGTGGGCCTCACCGGAGGACAGTCGAGCTCTGTCAGGATGTAGGGCTAGAGTTTGTGATTCTTCCCCTATCATATCCCTGGTTACTACACTGTCAAGGCCAAACCTTCGACCCCTGCATATGAACTTGGCCATACCCAAAGTATTCCAGCCTTCGGAGACTTCGTCACAGCCCCCCAGCGGTTTGACCTCGTCGGTACAAGCAAGAATCGCTTGTGGGTCTACGGGTTTCTGGACCAATCGGGATCCTCTTGATTTGCCTGCACCGTGTCTTCTTTTCGCAGTCAGCTACAGTCAGCCATGGTTTCGGGCAGCACCATGGTTCTAGGGAGCATTCAACAGATCTCGGCTAAGGCTGCTAAGGATGGTATTAATAATCAGCGAGTATCATCACCAGTGCTCCCGAGAACGTGCTACAGTCAGCCATGGTTTCGGGCAGCACCATTGTTCTGGGGAGCATTCAACAGATCTTGCACGAGAATGTGCTGCTAAGGATGGTATAATAATCAGCGCATATCATCACCAGTACTCCCGAGAACGTGCGAGGGTGCGAGGTGTCGGGAGTGTCAGCGTGCAGCTGCCACAGACGATGTGGCTTGCCACTGTCAGAGTGCATACTTCCAAACTGATATGTGGTCGGGGACTGGAGTAGCTTTAAGGTTCATGCCAGCCCAAGAAAAGAGGCCTCCGACAAGGGACCTCAGCGTGGGCGGCACAACATCGGGCTGCTGCTTGCGCACTCGAAAATAATGGATCTTTGTACAGCCTAGCCTAGCCGCTGGCTTCCTTGTTCTTCGCCTTGTCTAGCATTGCTTGCAACGCAGCGCTAAGTCCACTCGTGCTCCCGCCGCCGCTCTCGCCTGCCCCACTGCCACTGGAGCCCTCGTCCTTCTTGGGCTTCTTGGTCTCCGTCTGAGTCTGTCCGCTCTGATTCTCATTCTCCTTGCGCTTCTTGACTGCAGCGGTCTCCGCCTTCTTCTTCTTCTCTTCCTCCTGTTTGCGCTTGGCCTCCTCCTTGGCCTTCTGCTCGATGTTTTTGTCAGCCAGCGCAGGTGCATAGAGACCGGAGCCCGGGTTGGACAAGGCGGCAAGCACCTCCTTCATGACAGTCTTCTCGATGTACTCCACGTGGTGCTGTGTGCATGCTATGCCCACATAGCCAAGACGGTTGCACACTGCCCAAGCAGCCAGCCGTCCTGACTGGGGTGTCACGTCGATGATGTGGGCGGCGCTGGTGGCCTGCAGCGCGGACTCCCAAAGCGTCACGGGCATTTCATGATACACAACTGGCTGTTGGACTGTGGGAGCCAGTGTCTTGCTGCTGCCCCGGCCACTTCCGACGTCTGGGAGTTCAATCTCCTCTTCATCCACCGCACCGGTCTCTTCGGCAATTTCGTCTCTGTCAACGGCTGCGCCTTCGTCGTCCGTTTCGCCTGTGGCGGTTTTGCCGCCTACCGCAGCTCGTCTCTTCCCCCACAGGAGCTTCTTCTCCCCGTACGGAATCGATGGAAGGCTCTTCCAACTCTCGAGGCTGAACGGACCCATGAGGTCGAAGGCATTGGTTCCTAGTTTACTATGCAGGGCATCCAAATTGAAAGCTACCAGGGCCTCGCCGATGGGGTTTAATTCAACGTTAGGGTGTGCAGTGTACAGCCTAGCCTTGGCAGTGCTTGTAGGACTTCACCGGGATATCCGTGGCCGCATCGAACCACCAAAACATCTTCTGCGAGCACTTCAGGGACGCCAAAGCTTTCCTCGAGGTGCGAACCCGCCGGCTCTGCACGGACTCCGGGGTAAAGGTAGTTGTGATCTCGCGCCACATGATGTTGCTTCCCCGGGACTTCGAACGACCCACGCCCGGGCCAACACCGAACAGCTTGGACATGAAGCTGTTGTTCGAGCGCCCACCGTTGAGGCAAACCACAATCTCCCCAGGGGCCATCGTCTTCCAGTCCGAAGCTCCGCGACGTGCAAGCCCAATAGCCTCGAAGATCTTGTTCAGGATGCTTTGCTGAATCGGGGGTCGGCGAATGTGCGGGGCGGTGATTGCCTCACCCCACCCATTCACATCCATGACAATGATCAGATTCCCACTCATGCTCGCGGTGTCCACTTGCACCAGCTTGTGCTTCTTCAGGGCGGCAGCCAGGGCTCCAGACGTTTTCTTGTCGTCCTCGGACTCGAGCACGAGGTAGGAGGACATGATCCGCTTGGCGTGAGCCAGACGCTTGCTCTCCGGATCCGTGCCTTCCGCCATGGCCTCGTCCGTGTCTGAAGTTCTGGACGGGGCTGCTCCGGACGGGTTCGGAATCTTCTGTGCCTGGTCCGGCTCGGGATCGGGGTCCTGCGACTTCCCTGCATCGTTGATGGCCTTGAGCTCCTCCTTCAGGCAAGTGTCGATCTCAAGAATCGCGTCCTTAAACGGAGAATACTCTTCAAGCAACTCCTGCCCGCTTTTGGCATTTTTAATGCCCAGGCGGATGGTGCTCTCATCCGTTGCGTCTACGCTGAAACAGGCTGTCTCCACAAGTTCCAGTACCAGCAGCCCGGATTTGGGCCAAGTTGCTTGCCAGGACACGTCAATGTTCTCTGCCTCCTCCGGCACCAGCGGCCGCAACAGCTTCATGTAGGAATCTCTGGAGGCGAAGACCTCCCTCAGCTTGGACTTGCAGTCGGCCACAATGTTCCTGCTATCCAGGAAAGGGCCCAGTAGCCAAAGCTTCATCTCACGCTGCTTCAGGAACACCAGGCCATACTGCTTCGTGCCTGCCGTCGCAAGATTTCGCATGCTGAAATCGTGCAACGTCCCAGCCGTGAAGCGGGCGGAGATCGTGCCCAGCAACCACTCCAACTTGAGCACGTGGTCCTTGCACAACTTGCACATCTCCTGCAGCTTGTAGACGCCCGCAAAACGAGAGTCGTCCAGGAACTCCTGTTCGGAGGCCAAAACGATCTGGCGCAAGGGCTCGTGTGCAAGCATGCGCTCATACACCTGGAGGCAAGCCTTGATCGTTCCAGGCTTGCTGCGGTCCTTGTCATCATGATTAGCTCCACCACCGCTGGAGCGACGACTAACTTGAATCAAGTTCCTGCCATACAACGTGGCGACGTCGTCGGCAGTGAGCGGGCCTGTGAAGACCTCCTTCCTGACCTGCGCACGAGCTTCGTGCAGGGAGGGCCTTGTACTACAAATAAGATGAGGTGGGTTCAGGGTTTTGGGTTTCGCGTGTTCAGGTTCAGAGTTCTGGGAGCTTACCCGGACGTTAGAGTTAGGCTGTATCCATTCAGCAAGACGTTGCCGTGTAAGCAATGTTTCTTAGCGGTTACAAGTGCTGGCCTTGAAATTCCACACATCGAAGATCATTTGGGTCGTCTTGTGGGTGATGGCCTTCTGATCGGCCTCGGCTTTGAAGCGCTTGTTGATCGTGTAGAAGTAGACATCCTGCTCCGTGGCGAGGTGCACAAAGTTGGCGGGGCAGGATAGCATCACCCGCTTCCATTCCAACAGCTCGGAGTCCGGTGCACCCATGAGGATTTTCTCGTGGACGGCCATGATGACGGCATGCTGCTGCCTCAGCGTGGTCGGCTTGGGAGGGCTTCCGCTTTTCTGCAAGGGGAGATTGTGTGAAGTTGTTCTTTTCACGTTCTGGGCTGAATGCATTCGGGGCACTCTTCCGGAGAGCATCTGCGCCATCTTCTGTCTGTAGGGCCAGGAAACACAAATTCCAGACGATCCTCCAGAATCTTGGGCCCCCTGGCCAACAGACGCTTGACGAGGTCTGCAACAGCTTTAGTCATGATAGGAACGCCCGGCGTGATGGATTCTAGAGGACTGCCCCATAGAATGTTCACGCCACAGAAGTATTCCGAACCGCTGTCGCGCGACAGCTCCAACTGCCGGCGATCCAGCGGCGCCAGGAACCCTGCTAGATCATTCTGATCGGCAGGAACCAGGGGCAAGGGGTCCACGTAGTCGATGTTCGGACCGAACACGGGATGGGCCTTGATCTCCGAGATAGAGGCTTCGATCATCTTGAAGTGTTCGATGTTGGGGTCGTACGACGACGGCGGAAGATCGCCGAGGCCTGGGGCATCAAGGTCCTTCTTCCCGGCCATCGCCTTCGCCTTCTTTGCTGGAGGCATGCTCGGAGACAGCGGTCTTCTCGAGAGTCTTCCCACTTGAGCTCTGCTAGGGCTGCGTGCATGACATGAGTTCCCTGTTATTCTCCGTGCACCTCGCAGCTCTAGTCTAGATCTGCACGTGTCTGCAATGGCCGTGGATACCGGCTTGTCCAGACGCAATGACTGTCAGGTCTCCTCAATATCAAGGGCCCGGCGCGCGACTGAACATGCAGCGAGTCCTGTAGATTTTTGGCTACTCGTCCCGGAGGATAAGGACTTCCACGACTTGTAGTGTAGTGATCTACCGTATTGATTACACCCTGGAACATTCTACGCTAGGAAGGGCACGTTTCGTTTGGAAACTTTGATGATGATGATGATGATGAGCATGAGGATGATGATGAGGATGATGAGGATGATGAGGAGGATGAGGATGATGATGATGGTGATGAAGATGATGCTGATGATGAGGAGGAGGAGGATGATGATGATGAGGATGATGATGAGCATGATGATGCTGAGGTTGAGGATGATGAGGATGATGATCATGATGTTGTCGATGATGATGATGATGAGGAGGAGGAGGAGGATGATAAGGTTGAGGATGATGAGGATGAGGATGATGATGATGATGTTGTTGTTGATGATGATGATGATGATGACGATGATGATGATGAATATTATGATGATGATGAAGAAGATGAGGATGATGACGAGGATGCTGATGATGAGGTTGAGGATGATGAGGATGATGATGATGAGGATGATGATGATGATGATGAGGATGAGGATGATTTTGATGATGAGGATGAGGGGGAGGAGGAGGATGAGGATGAGGATGAGGATGAGGATGAGGACGAGGATGAGGATGAGGACGAGGATGAGGATGAGGACGAGGATGAGGCTGAGGACGAGGATGAGGATGAGGACGAGGATGAGGATGATGATGAGGATGAGGATGATGATGCCCCAGGATACCCTCAGCTCTGCACATCGGGAATTCAAATTGCCACCCCACGTACAACCTCAAGCCAAAGCTGGTTCGATGCTGTAGTCGGATACGTGATGATATAACACTAGAACTGTACCCTAACCCCTGGTAAAGCTCCGCAAGATGCCCAAAGCCACCCGTGGAATCTTTAGCCCGCAACCAGGGAACGCAAACCCGCAACCTAAGCCTGCAACTTCAAGGCCAAAGCCCTTCACAAACCCCGGTATCGAAACCCATCGCCCTGACCCTAGGGGGGAAGTGATCCAGGCCGTGAGCCGAGCATTGCCCGTAGGGGCAAAAACCCCACAGTATTTAGAATTCCTTTTATAAGGGTTAGACTTTTGCAGCGATCTATAAGGGTCGAGAACGCAATCCAGGCCGTGAGCCGAGCCTCCAAGTCTGGCCCTACCCCGACCCCCCCGGGACGCAGCGTCCTGCCCCCTTTGGCTTGGCCAGGAGCCTCCGAGAGCAGGCGTTGTGGGCTTCGGGTTGAAGGGCTCAGGCTTTAAGGGTTTCGTGCTTAGGGCTTCGGGTCGCTTTCAGGGTTTCGTGCTTAGGGCTTCGGGTTGAAGGGCTCAGGCTTTAAGGGTTTCGTGCTTAGGGCTTCGGGTCGCTTTCAGGGTTTCGTGCTTAGGGCTTCGGGTTGAAGGGCTCAGGCTTTAAGGGTTTCGTGTCTAGGGCTTCGGGTGGCTTTAAGGGTTTCGTGCTTAGGGCTTCGGGTTGAAGGGCTCAGGCTTTAAGGGTTTCGTGTCTAGGGCTTCGGGTGGCTTTAAGGGTTTCGTGCTTAGGGCTTCGGGTGGCTTTAAGGGTTTCGTGTTTAGGGCTTCGGGTGGCTTTAAGGGTTTCGTGCTTAGGGCTTCGGGTTGAAGGGCTCAGGCTTTAAGGGTTTCGTGTTTTGTGTGAAGCGCTTCGGGTTTAGAGTCTTGGGTCGAGGGTACTCTTTTATGACTTCAGGACTCTAGCTGGCTCCAGCAGGGGCTTCTATATCATCCGACTGAGTCTTGATATGGCATCATCATGTATCGTATCACATCATGTCACATGACATCATTATATTACATCTCCATTCCACATCATAGCATATCATCTCATATCACCTCTTACCTTGTCGCATCATATCTTTTCATGTCACATCATATGATATCATATCATATCATATATTATCATGTCATACCGTAACATATCATCTCATGTCATATACTACCTTATCACATCATATCATTTCATGTCACATCATAGCATATCATATAATATCATGTCATACCATATCATATCATGTAATATCATATCTTATGATATCGTACCCTAAAAGATGCTATTATGTCATATC